TCTCAAGTCATTAAAGACAAGTCATAGTCAAGTCTCAAGTCATTAAAAACAAGTTAAAGTCAAATCACAATTCTTTAGACGAGTCAAAGTCAGGTTTCAACTTAGTTGTTGAATTTGAATGGATTATTTTTCCGGTTGTATTATTGTGCCATGATATCTTAGGTTGAGTCTCCTCAGCTTTTTGAGTTCAAGTCTCAAGTCAAATAGAGCCTTCAGGCAGTCAAGTCTCAAATAAGTCATGTCTCATAGCAGACGAGTCCAAGTTAAGTCACCAGTCGTCACTTTGCAAACTGACTGGATTCCAGGCAAGTGTGCAGCTCTAACAGGAACCAAAACCAGAGGACATGACTGTCTTTGTCGTTGTGTGTGGTGCATTTGTTGACTTACCATGAGGTCCTCAGAAAACAAGGGCTCTTGACTCCTAGCGAGCCCAATGGAGCGGGTCATGTGGAGGTTTCCATCCACGTCTGAGTATTTCCCTGTTAGTGATGTTTCACAGAGTCTGGAAAGATAAACACAAGCCACAGGTATCTGTTAAAGGATGTCTCTGTGACAATACGCTAGTATAAGGACATGTCCTTATGATACGTTTGGAACAATTCCATCCTCGGCCATATCTATCAAATGTCACCCACTGACTAAGCCATCCTCATACGTCTTATCTTCCTGTCCCTCCCCAGTGTTTTCTATCTTTTCTAACAGTGAGACATTTTCAAGTAACGCACTAATGTTTAAAAAAAAGTGTTGGAAAGTCGGAACGGCAAAAAAGCAACAGAACACTAAAGATGACGATATATTTAAAGACAAAGGCAGCATGACCCAAAAAAACCAATGTGTCATGCTTGCTCAAGTAAAATGGTCAAATTGTGACAAAGACCAGGTTGATATGGGCTTTCATTGCTGACGTGTACGATGAATAACCCTGGACCTGTACCATACAGCAGGGTTTATTGTGATAGAACGGACTCACTACCAACTAACAGCTAGAATGTTTGACTACAAGGCCACAGAGGGACACACAGACAGTCTGAAGGGAACACAAACAGTATTTTCACACTGAGAACAATATCATGTGCAATATTACTGTTTTCAACATCTTGCAATATTACATTTAAATACCATGTGTTTTCAATATATTATGTGCAATGTAACTTTGTATCACTTTTCAAAATCATTAACAATATTACTCTCAATATCATGACCTTTCTATTTAAGTGTACATTAGGCACTGGTGTTATATTTAGCTCACTCTCATCGCTTTCTATGTTGCACCGGTGTCTGTATTACTACTTTTAGACTTAATAATTATTGTTAATCTATTGTTCATTTTTGTTGATATTTTTCCTCCATTGTTTCTTCTTATTCTTCTGTTGTAATATTTGATCAAACAAACAAGAATTTCCTTTGTGATTAATAAAGTTCTTATCTAATTGAATGAAAGTTGACAAAGTACCCTGAAGAAGAAGATGAATGGGAGCATTTGGAAGTGTGTCCTGGAACATTATACTAAATGTGATTTTGAAAAAGGTCCTTCTATTAGAGTTAATAATTGCAGCCCATGTCATTTCGTGATAAGCGTGATGTGTGCTGCAGCTTGATTGACTTCTGTTGTCAGCACACCAGCACTAAGGGTCCAGTATGAAGGAGAATAACCTGAAAACAACCACCAGCTTACTGAAGCCGTTTAACAGCTGATGTCGCTTTAAGAAACAGTCCCGTCATACATAACTTATCCATAATGAAAGTGGTCGACAATGCCACATGATCAATTGTGTTCCATCTTCACAGCTGCATGTTCTTAGTACACGTCCTATCTTAACTCTCTCCTCTGATCACTCCCGTGATAAATCACTTTCATTCCGGTCTTGCAAAATGATTTGTGAACTGTGTGAGGATACAGAAGTGTTCCCTCCAACCTCAGAGTTAACAATGTGATGTGGAAGCTCCACCATCTGGCCCGGGGGCATCCACCAATGACATTTACTCGCAGGGCCGTGTTTGACGGCGGTTCAATTTCCTCTCTCCCATATTGCTGCTTTAAGAACATCTGTGGGGGGGTTTCTTCCCCTTCCAGTGTACTGATGAAAAATGTTCCCGCAAAAAACTCTGTTGCCGCATTGCAACAGCAAATGTGAGCCAGAGTAAAGAAAGATTGAAATCCAGCGAGGAAGTGACAAAGCCGAGATTGAATAGTGATGAGAAAGTCTAACCTGAGGTAGTAGACTGATTTGGTTGTACGCTCCTGGTAGACAAACATGTTCTTCCTGTTGACCACACAGAAGGAGTTGAGCACAGAGCGCAGGGGCTGCATCGCTGCGACAGGGAGACAACAACACAGATGCACAGATTTAGCTAAATAAATCTATTCTCTTTGAGAGGAGGATCATCGCTATATTAAAACAAAACATTGAGGAGAGGTTTGTTAATGGGAGAAGACAAGGTTTGTGGCTGAAAGCTGCTTGGAAATAACTTCTGGCACACTGTAAAAAAACCTTTGTAAGAAAAACACAATTACACGCTAATCGGCATAGTCCCCCTACCAGCTCCCCTGCAGAGGTACGAGTTAAGTGCCTTGCACAAAGGCATAGCAGTTGTCGTTACTGTCCAACTCAAAGGCCTCTTTCTTCACTTTTCCTATACACTGTATTTTACAGGTTGTGTAGTTTTCTAATGAATTCCTCTAGAGCAGGGATTCCCAAAGTGTGTGGGGTGCGTGAGCTGCCAATAGGGGGTGCGCGAGAGGAAAATGTAATGGTGGTCTAATGGTGCAGTCCTGTCTCCTAAAAATTACGTTCCGCCAAAACTAAAATGCATTCTCAATTACGTTTGACCATAAACGTATTTTCTCCCTGATTACGTTTGTGTTTGACGTATTACAAATACGTTTCTAATCAACATATCTTTGCCATACTCTAGTCTTTATTATTTTTCTGTGATCTGCCTCGCCTCTCCCCCGCCACCCACAAGTTGTTGCCCCGCGGCCTGTTCCGAGGGCTGACAGACCTGACGATGGGGTGCCTCACGGCGGGGGCGGCTGGAGACCTCGCGTCCGGCGCCACGGGTGAGCGCCCGCCACTCGGAACCATAAAACCAAGTCCCGGATTTCACCCGGGGGACATTCTGGAGGTATTGTGGCCGGGTGATGTGCCTCGTTGCTGGGGAGCTATGAGCCGAGAGTGGCAGGGTGTTATGGAGGTATATTTTATTTATTTGTATCCATCTAATTAACCCTGCCCTAACCCTAACCATAACTTCCACTAGGAAGCCACGTCCCCACCCAAACCTAACCCTTAAGAGAGTCACGGTTACTCCCGGATTTTACACGTGAGCCTTTGTGGAGGTATTGTAGCCACGTAATGTTCCTCGTTGCTCAGCGTGGATGAGCGCATTTCTGCCGGAGACAGGCGGCGTGTTGTGGTGGTATTCTGACCGCGTAACAGGGAGAAGGAGAGGCGGTGGTGGAGAGGGAAAAAAAGGTTAAAGTGTTAAAATGTTGATTAGAAACATATTTGTAATAAGTCAATGTAATAAGTCAAACACAAACGTAATCAGGGAGAAAATACGTTTTTGGTCAAACGTAATTGAGAATGCATTTTAGTTTTGGGGGAACGTAATTTTTAGGAGACAGGGTTGCGCAGTGCAGTCGGTGCAGTGAGGTTCTGGCTAGCAGCTGTCTGAAGTCCTCTTATTTACGTCGCCACCTGAACACCAAGCATGCCAGTGTAAGTCTAAAGCACCTTACATTGTTTATATCGAAATTGGAGGAGTTACAAAACAGCCCAAAACAACTGCAGTCTCATTCATGTGTTGGGTCTACAAAAAACGCACTACGGGCTTCATATCTGGTCACAGAATAGCAAGAAAGGGGCTACCTCACACAATCGCCGAAGCCGTGTGCTTGCCAGCTGCCAAAGAGATGGTGGAATGTATGATTGGAGAGAGAGAAGCAAACAAGTTGGACATGATCCCGGTGTCCAACAACACTGTGTCGCGCCGCATCGATGCTTTGTCCGAAGACATCCTGGCTACATTAGTCGGTCGCGTGAAGAAGAGTGAGTTTTACTCTCTGCAAGTAGACGAGCCTACACATGTGGCCAATCTGGCCAATCTTTCTGGTGTACATCCTTTTCGAAGGCACGGTGCAGGAAGTTTTTTGTCTTTTTTGTGTTTTTTATCTTGTAAACAAACACCACGCGCGAGCAAACTGTTCTCTCATTGGTCAGATTTTTATGCGGCTATAAATAGGCTCTGTTGCTTTTTTTTTTTTAAGGTGTGTGATGTAGAAGGGGGTGCGTGGCCTAAAAAGTTTGGGAACCGCTGCTCTAGAGGATAAGGATCGTGTGAGGGACTGTGTCATTGGTATTACTAAAACAGAGACAGTGTTCAATTGGAACGCTTCTAGTTACTAAATGACGATTCATTTCTGAACATGCATAAATGTCCATTTAACAGGCAAACAAGGAGAATAAAGTTTGGAGTAATAAATGAACATTTACTTGGGTTTAAATGAATCTCTGTCAGTCGTTTTGTTTTATCTACAATTTATAGTTTGATTGGTAAAGTCAGCCCATGGATGTATGACAACTGGATATTGTGTCATCCAATTGTGCCCAGTGGCCACCTGTGGTATTGCAGCAAAAATAATACCCTTTTGGCCCAAAAAGCATTTTCCCCATAGACCACCATTGTAAAAGAGACGTCTGTAAAACTGTCGACAACAGGGTCAATTATGACTCTTTCTATTACGATTTTTCGATCCATGATGGTTCTATATGTGGTAAACTTTTCTCAAGCCGAGGAAAGCGATTTAAAGATCTGTGACGCCAACACAATGTCTAAGGGCCAAGTGTGAACCTGTGGGCGGGGCCAGCAGGAGAAACACTGCTGCGCATATTCAGTAGGCTGCATAACCAGGAAGTAAACCCAGACAACTATTCTTGGTTTGGTGAGCAGCTCTGATTGGACTGAACAGGCGATGTCTTGGTATCCAGTATCCTGTTCTCTAAATGAAGGGGCCAGCACTATAAACCTCTCTGAATAAATGCTGCTAGGTTTTCACCTTGACTTGTTTTTCTCAAATATATTAACTTGATGGTTTATTTCCCATGAATATATAATGTGTGAATTGAAGACAGAAGAGCAGATTCCTCTCAGGCTCCGCTCACTTCAACATTTCATGTTAAACTATTTGTTGAGTCATCTTCAGCCATTCTACGAAGTGAACACACTAACTGCAATACTAAGACCTCTGGTTTTCTAATACTTTAAACAGATTTGCTGTGTCATTGCGGGAGTCAACCCATATACGGGAACATGTTCAGATCTGCCACTCACCCCTGGACACCCCCATGTTGGGTCCCATCTTGAGGCGGGGGTGAATGTGGATGATTGTGCTCCACACCACGTCGCAGGCAAAATGTCCAGGGATGAACTGCATGGTGGCTGCCAGGTAGTCTCTGGCCTGGTAGCTCTCCTCCGTGTTGTAGTCTGTGACATCAGGGTAAGATATTAAAAAATATATACAATAAAGGGTCTGTTCGCCCCAAATGACTTAAAGTATGGGTATGTTGTGACTCACCGTCAGAGGTGTTGAGCCGCTGCCTGTAGAGAGACTCGTTCTTCCAGATGTCTTCCTCGCTCTCAGCCACCAGCAGAGAGTTACACACATGGCTGTCGTGTAAATCCTGCAGCAGCATGCGCTACACAAACAAAACACACAATTGTGTATCATTTGTATTTAATCACATGCATATTGTGTTGCTTCTATCCTTATGCTCTTTCAATTAATGTCACAAAAATCTTCATTTCAGCCTGTGGTGCAGTGTGCAGAGTGCTGCAGCAGCTACCTGGTTGACTGTTCTGCAGATTTCACCGATCCTCCTGACCACCATCTGATGTAGGTGTAAGTATTCAGGCAGCTCCTCGTCCTTCTTCTCCAGCTCCTCAGCACTGGCCTCTTTGCCGGCTGTGAAGCACCTGCAACAGACATGTACGGGATTCAGAGAGCGGCCGGGATCAAGCGTGTGACAATCCGTCCACGGAACTGTGCCGAGTTTTAATGAAGCGACACTGTCCTTTGAGAGTGAATGACCTCACCATTTTACAAAATGTTCAAACAGAAATGGCTGATGAGGTCTCAGCGAGTATCATAGTAGGTGAATGCAGGGTGAACATTTTGTTTTTTACATTTACTCAGGAAATGTGGCTCCGCCCACTCAGCAGCTTCTTGACGGGTGCCGAACGAGTGCCGCTCGCTTGCCACTGACGTGCCACAGTCCTGACGCCTGCCACTGACGTGCCACAGTCCTGACACCTGCCACTGACTAGCCACTGAGGTGCCAGTGCCACAAGGAGGATCTCGCTGTCTCTCAGTTTACGGACCCTCTCCTCCTAAACGATGTCCATGTGGATAACGCACCTCCTACGGTGAGCCCTCCTGGTCCGAGCCCTCTATGGGTCGCACCGGAAAGCCACACAGTTTCCATTATTTAATCATAGTCTGAGGATTGTCTGACCTGGAATGGGAGTAGACCTTCACTCTGTCCTGGTGGATCTTAACAATGAGCCAGAAGTCGGGTATCAGAGGGGACTGACACTCCTGTTCATCCAGGGTGGGGCTCTCACACTCAGAGTCACTGCTGCCGCCATCATAACCTTCAAACACACAGAGGCAAAGTGACAAAAAGGCAACGTTATGGTGTCATCATTTATCTTCATCAGGGAAGTCATGCCGGGTCTGTAAGCCTTGGTGAGAGACACTCACACACAGAAGCACCAGTGTCAAACAGCTTGTTTTATCGATGTCTGTTAAGTCTTTCAAACTGTTTGTAATTGTATTGTAGTATCAAGCATTAAAATCAGTGGTGTTTCACAAGGTTCACAGTTGGATCTATTAAGAAGTCACTTTACCAGGAGCTGTTTCTGCCTCTTATTCAGAACATATAATGATGTGGGTTGTCCACAAGATGGAGCTGTTTATCCAGGTGAAGTTTACTATATAATGGAACTGTGTTCAAGATGAGCTGGTGAGTTCAAGATGCAAAGTAGTTTTGAAATGTAGTCAAATGTATTGTTAAAAACAAACTACTTAGATATAAAGCTGGACCAACTGACATTTAAGCGAGAAGACAGACACTACGTTTGTAAAGCTGGACTACATGGCAGCCTTCTGGTTACATGCTCTTACACTGGGGAATGAATTCTAATCTCAAGTGTGGAGAATGTGGAAGGTAGGTAACTTTCATACTGTGGGTCTGTATTTTGTAGTTTTTTGTAAATGCAAAACTAACAAGATGGTGAGAAATGACCACCTCATTCTTCGACACTGATGGTGACGGTCAGACATCCTCCGTCTTGGTTACTTACCCTGCATGTCTGAGTCCAGGCTGCCCTGGCTGGAGACCACACTCTGGACTCGACTTGGCCTGAGTTTGCCACAGCCTGAGGAAAGAGTAGAGAGTCACGAAACACAGCACGGAGATGAGCTCTGTTATATCACACAGCCTCAGAGGAAGGCTGTAGATGGAGAGGACACTGGAGACAAAAGACAACCCTGTCTCCTATTGTTTTTGAGAACGGTAACATGATGGAGCTGGACGATATCACCTGACAATCAGTTGTCACATTAGTCTCTGTAATGACGAATAGATGATATCTTCAATAATTAAATAAAATTGGGAACAGATTATCAGCCAGCAATCTGATCACGTCAATAAGAAACATAGAGCGACCCTTTCTCATACGGGCCACCAGCATCTCTATCCCATGCAGTCCAATGCTTTGGTAACAATGACTGAAAACAGAAACACTAAAAAGCCCCAGACAGAATCAAAAGCATCAATGTCTGACTGATAGCAAGCCCTCTGTAGACGGGCTGCCAGCACCCTGACATACACATGTTCATCAGCATTAAAGAGACTAACTAGTACTAGTGACCAGTACACGCCAGACAAGCCATGATTCAGTTCACAGCGATAAGAAACAGAGAAGCGTATAACCCATCACAGAATACTGAGCGCAACCAGAGATGTTAAACCTCATATGACAATGAATCAATTCATCATGTTACAAATATAGAAAAAACATTTAGTTTACTTGTAGCATTTTAGCATGTCATGACCACACAGGTACCTGACGTTTGTAACGCCTGGTACTGACTGTTAGACGCAATTCATTGCAGGGCTTATAGCAACTTTGGCCATGGTTACACTTGTTAATGTGACTTTTGTGATGGAATGCACCAGAACAGAACTCAGCTGCGTCCACATGTGTGTGTTTACACTTCAATGTGAGCTGCCTGATCAGATGGTGAGCAGCTGTTAAAGAGGAGAAACACGTTTCCGTTCCCTTAAAATCTCTGCTGTCTTTCCCGTTTACTCATCCTCCTGGAGTATAAGTAGACTTGTTTTATCCAAGAATAGTTGCTAACAGAGCTTATAACTTATAGCTTTAACTTCCTATATTCTTCACAATAAAAGTCCCTTGTTATTTTGTAATTTAAAAGGTTTTGTTTTGAAGCATCCAAATCAGGAAAAGCTGGCGTTTCATCAGCACTAAGTTAACAGGACTTTCTTCCCTTTGCTCTTCTAAGGAGATGAACTGTAGGGAAAATGAACCTTTGTGAGATAAATTCTCCGGGTTGTTCCCACATGCTGTCCACATGATCTCACCGAGATCAGAACTCAATGTGAGCAAGGACACCTCAGAATGTGGTCCTGATCGGATGACGAAAGACGCATCGACAAGACAGGTGGAAGCGAGGCCACGCTTTAGTCATGCATTCAGGTTTTTGTGCGTAGGTCTGAGGTGTAGAGGTTTGCAGTGTGTCTGCTGGACTCACTGTGAGAGGCCGACTGCATGGACTCAGCCAGGCTGATGCTGGACGGCGTCTTGGGGGGCGAGGTAGGATCTGCGCAGCGTTCGGTGTGGAGCTGGGGGGCACAGAGCTGACCTTGGTCCCCCACCGTGCTCGCCGAGCTCTGAGAAACCGCGTCGTCGGCCTCGGGCTTCAAGGCTTCTGCAGCAGGGTCACTGGGAGTGTCAGCAGAAGCACTGAGGGGATTCTTGTCTTCACTCTGCAGTTGGACAGAATATTCAGGTTTCATCTACTGGAACTCAAACCTCAACAAAGGACATCTCGTTCTCGTTCTCCATTTAATCTAATTCCTCATTGTTAAATATTCCTTATTATCTGCATTCCTTTCAGAAAATAGTTAAGAAGTTATGAAATTAACTATTACCACTACTACCATTTTTATTGTTTTTTTCTTCCGTTTTTGTTATTTATGTAGCTTTATCTATATTTTATTATTATAGCCTATAGTTATTAATAGGCCTATTAAGTGGGTTTCCTTCATTGATTACCTGGACAAATAGACATGACGCATACATCCTACTGTTTTGTGCACAAAGCCCGTTCATAATTTCATAGCAGCATATGATGGACAGATCATACGATGCATTATGATTTATGGCAGGCATTTATAGTTGGTTAACAGACAAGCTGCTGGATCTGACTGAAGTTTAAATGCATTGAGTTTGTCAGGCTTCTTCTCTCCGCAGCACAGTGGAAGATTACACATTAGTTACTGAGGAAAGAGAAAGCTTAGCTATTGGCTAACTACCACAGAGCGTCACCAGACCAATGAAACTAAAACTCAACACTCAGAGTGATTATACAACTGCAGGCATCGAGTCTCATTGTTTCACATCGGCGTGGAACGACGTGTCCGACCTCACTGTCCCCCTGAGCCTCTGCTTCACTCTCCAGCACCACGTTCTCCACCGGTGCTGCGGCGCCGCAGGGGTGGGTGCGCTGCTGGGGGTCCGCGGTGCTCTCCGACAGCCTCTTGGCAGCGTGGATCCTGTGGGGGTGCAGTCTGCTCAGGGACATGTAGTAGAAGCTGCCCTGCTCTCCGTTCAGCACGTAGCCAGAGAAAGACATTCTGCGGAACTCCTGCGGGATCAGACGTTAACCCATCAGAGATCCTGACTTTGTGTCCAAACACTGATCACTCACTGTCCCATTAAAAGATACCTAAGTCCGTTTTGAACATCATACTAATGAGCCACCATTTCATATTTTCTAAATAAATGACAAAAATATTATCTTTTGCTATTTTTTATTTCCTGCTGTGCCGAAAAACCTACCAAACCATGACCGCGAAACCACAGAACTTCCACACTGTAGATTGTGTGTGGTGTTACACCTCTACAGAGAGGGAAGCATCGCTTCCTTTAAGGTGCTGGAAGGCTTTTATTGTGAAACATCTGCGCAAGAAGTATTGAAATAAGCCTAAAATGGCAAAGTAGAACCTTCTAGAATTAATTAATGAGTGAAAACGGTACATACATCTTTTAGAAAATAAAATATGATCAAATATACATATAAAACTGGTTCATTTTTAATAATTCACAGCAGGACATGAATAAATATTGTGTTAAAAAGCACTGAAAATGAATATGGAGGTATTTAATATATTTAAAAACTACCTCAGCATGAGAAGCAAACCAAACCAGGAGGACACACTGTGCTTCACCATCCCTCGAGGTGTGTGTGTGTGTGTGTGTGTGTGTGTGTGTGTTTGCCTCTCTGAATCTCTCCAGAGACTGCTCCGGCCCAAAGACAAACTGAAGCGGGACATCTTCGCAGAGACAGTGCGGTCGCCCGATGGAGCGCAAAACGTGCTCGGACACTTTCTGCAGCGTGGCCGAGCTGATGACCCGAGAGTGACGCAGAGCGGAGACGATTTCATCCTCCAGCAGCCAGCGGATCTGAAACACAGGGAGAGCAAACCACAGACCAGCTCATCACTGCTGTGTGTGTGTGCGTGTGTGTGTGGTAAGAGCAACAATGTGGACCTTATCGTTTTTCAGTGAAGAATAAAAACATCCATTCTAGTCTCAAGACTAAAGAGCACTTCCTAAAAGATGCATTTATAATCTCGCAAGAGAAAAACATGACGAGTGTGGATTTTGATGTAGGAATGCACGATTATGGACGAAATGATGATCAAGATTATTTTGATATGATTATTTATCACGAGGTTAGGGACAAAATATTTTATTTATTTAAAATATATGTTTGTCCTCTTCTCTATAGTGCTGTTTATTAATCTAGATTGTTTTGGTTTGAGTTGCCTTATTTTGGAGACGTCGGCCACAGAATATAATGGGACTATATGGCACTCGGCTTGTGTTGCTAAAAGCGGTTACTCAAGATAATCCACACACCTTATTGCAATAAGATTGAGAAATTGTAAAAATATGTACATTTGATTCTGGTTACATTTAAATAAACAGAACTGCTTTCACAACAAACCTTTGCATCCAAATAGGACTGTTCCTTATTCACAGTGTATCTCCTAGAAGCTAAATAAAATGAGGAAACTGCTCTCTCTTCTGCGTTGTGCTACGTTCCTGCTGATTAACAAATCTTTGCATCAAAACAAGACTTAAAAAAGGCTCTTGTTAAAGAGAAACATTTAGATCGCCCCCTGGTGGCTGACTGTTAGTTTAGGAGGCGCTTGATTTGACGTGCAGCAGAGTTTGGTACGAGCGGAGCACTCAATTTAAACGTCAATATCGCAATCGATCATGTTTCTTTATTATATTCGATAAACTTTGCAGATTTACTTTGATATCCTTAGCATGCTGCCAACAGTGAGACTAAACATGTAACGTTTGTGCTACGGTCAGTAAACGAACCAAAGGGTTCATCCACTTGTGCACACGCATGTGGTCAGCAGACTCCATGTGTTACAGTAACTGATGGTCAGCGCAGTGCTGAAGGAGAGCTCCAGAGATGTTGAAGGGTGTGCACTGTAGATGTCAGGGTCACCTGACGGCTTCATTATCTCTGAAGTAAAGGTGGAAATCTGGAATCCTAAAGATTGCTTTGTAATTTGATTAGAAGATGAAACATCTTTAGACTCCTCCATTTTCTAAACTGCTTATCCAGTTCAAAAAATGTTGATGTACATTTCCAAAGGCTATATACATAGAATTCATATGATGTATTTTTAACTGACAGCATATTTGTGAACTGCATATTTGGGTAAAGGTAATAAGTGAAGCCTCTCTCTTCTTGACGTTGTGTGTATTACATGGTCATCTGGGACAGGTGTGCTCTGTGTCCCCAGAGTCAACACTGAACATGGAGGAGCATTCAGTGTTCATGCACCATGTATCTGCTACAAACTGACAGAAAACTGCCTTGTATTAAATCATTTCTTACCTTTATTTTTTCCATTTCATCTTATTCTAGTTGACCTTGTTTTTATATTGTGTATTCCTTTCATAATGTGATTCATTTGCACTTTGCCTGAAGATGGTTTAGGTAAAGCGCTTTGAATTGATTGTTGCTTAACTGTGCTGTGTAAACACACTTTATCATTTTGCTGTGTTGCTGCTGTGATGGCTCACATTTAGAAGAATAAGACTCACCTCGTCCATTGTGGCCAGAATTGCTAACTTGTGAGGAAGAGGGAGTTTGGATAAGGGATCACTGGAGACCCTGGTAGAAGACAAGACGCGTATCAGGAAAAAAAAAAAAAAAAAAACTGAGAATGGGTCCAAGCTCAATATCGTCCTGGCCAACAAGCACATATGTTGAACAAACCCACCCATCAGCACCGGCTCCCCTCAGACTGTCCAACTCCGCCATCAGCTCCTCGTCGGAGCGATAGGAGGAGGGCTGTGCTGGTGAGCGGTTCAGGGACACACTGCTCTCTGAGGTGTACCTGCACACAGAGGGGAGGTTTCTGTCACATTCACTGTCAGGATAGCGTTTACAGTGGCGAGCCACACAATGGTCCAATGAGTGAACAGCTTCATGACTACTTTAAAACAACTGGTATAGATATGTCCCCCACCTTTCATCAAGTTACAACTCAATTCATTTAAAAACTAATTATCAAATCGTTTCCAATTTATCTTCTGTGGATACAGTATTCCATTTGACATGTTAGCTCTGCTTCACACTATTCCACTGATGTTTCTGATGTTTTCTGGTCTTCTGCTGTCGCCGTCTTCACAGCGTCACTGGCTGTGACAACGACACAGAGTTCAGTGGCACTTCTACCGATGACTGTATAGTTGTGACATAACAACCTTACAGAAGTTCTGACGGCTCGTTTTAAACACGTCTGCACGCGGGCTGTGTGCATTTCTCTTTGGATTGAGCGCTTTGATACTTTCAGTATTTATATAGCACCTAGACCTACTTTACGTCTAAAGAAGAAATGTACGTCTCAGTTTCTACAACATGGGACCTTTAAACATGGACGTACCAAAAACATTCACCATGTGCGTTGGGCCTCAGTGATCTACACATTGCATTTTGGTGCATATAAAGACATTTTGTTTGTCAACAAGAAAACTCCAGAGGATCTTTAATATTGCATTGTGATCTGCAGAATTTGTGCCGAGTATGCAGAAATTCACGCCAGAGATAACGAGCTCACGAGAATGTGACAGACAGTCGGACGGACCGCCCAAACACGTAATAACTGAAATTCTCTTTTCTTGCAAATCTGCTGATGTGAGGTGGCTTGTTGCTCACACTTTCACTCACCGGTTATGATGGAAATCAGCCATGACTTCGATCTCCAGAGGTAGAGTCAGGACAAACAGATCTAGCGTGACTAAGAGCTCGTTCAGATCCACGGACTGCAGGGCTTCGGCATTCTCCAAGCAGGAAATGATCTCACCTGCGATCACACAACCGAGATAAGCACCGCCAACAAAACAGTCTCAACTCTTCAGCTAAATATCTTACAGAGGGATGATGGGAGGACAAAAACAGCTGTTTTGATGAATGAATGATGGTGGTAACTCTTTAGTAACAATGTCAACTTCTGAATATAGTAGAAAGACTTTTGTGTGTCTGTACTCACCGAGGCAGGTGGGCAGCGTCTGAACGGGCATGGAGCCGTGGCAGCTCTTCATGTTGACGGAGCAGGTGACGTGAACAAACAGCGGCGGCATGTCCAGCAGCGGCCCCTCGACCTCCAGCAGGGAGTCTCCCTCCAGGATGCTGAAGGAGTCCTGGTCCTGGTTGACCGTGTTGGAGTCCGACATGGACTGGTCGTCGCCCTCACCGTGCCACTCCACCACCAAATCAGTGTCGCTCTCCGTCATGATGCAGCAGCCGGAGAAGTTTTCTACACGCAAAAAACCATTAATGCTCATTATCATATCACTAGCTGAGGAGAAACAATGAGATGACCAAAAAGCTAGTTATTACACCATATAAGGAAACATTTCATGTTTGTAATGGCATGCAGGCTGTGCATGAACAAATGTATATTCCTTTTGTTTCCCAAAAAGTCAGACACAGATATGAAAGCATAAAAGTATAACCAGTATAGACCAGCATAACAAGCAGCTGCACAACTGAGAGAACGGAGGCTTCACCCTTTGGGGTGACTGGAAGACCCTCAGAAGGAGAGCTGCTTTTTCCTAGCTCAGAGACTGGACTACTCTTCTTTTATAGAAGACCCTGTGAGACGTTTCTGCTATCAGAAGACAGCGACTGATATCTTTTGCACCACATAGACTTTCCTTGAGTTGAAATTGTTTTATGTAACTGTTTTGAGAAAACTTTAATAAAAACACAGCCTTACCATTTGTAAGTGTCTGGGACTCAAACTGAAGACTCTGGTTTTTAGATTAAGTTACCCCTCTTCCCCTGTCCCTGAAACGTGTGATACAGAGGTGATGACCGACTCTACCAGAGGAGGGTAAGTTCCCTGGATGAAGACTTGGCAGTGTTAGTCAAAAAATGGTGAGAAACTCACAATAGGCATAGTAAGGTACAGACGCTCTACGTAACTACTCATACTGGGTGTCAGGGTTACATCCTGCTGAGAGGGCCTAGGGCGTAGCCGTACAAGACTCTCAGAAAGACAATCATTCCGAAATCTAACGACTCAGCTACGGGGTGAGATAAAAGGCCGAAGGTATTTTCCTGACACCTCTGTGGGACACTAAACCCACTAAGGATTGGATTACCGACGGAGTTACCACCGTGTTAGGTGTGAGCCTGCTCGCGCTACATTACATAGATCATCCTGCATGATTTGGGAGGTGTAGTGCTGCCGTGTATTAGTGATTACAGATATATAGCATGTGAAAATGTTAACATGTCCTACAGATCTCGGAGACTCACAAGACCTCAAGCTGAAGTAACTGCTGTAGCGGACTTCTGAAACATGTCATCAGCTCAACATCATGTTCAGAAGTAATTCTCAGAGAGTTAGGACAACATGATGTCTTGAGCTGATAGAATAATAAGCTGTTGAAGAGGACCCAGGGTCTCCAGGACCCCAAACACAACATCAGCTTTAACCCATCGATAGCCAGACAACTTCATCCTTACCTAACTTACCTTTAACTTAACTTAGTTCAATGAAGATTGTCAAGTCACTATGCATCGCCAAATGAGGTAATATGGTGACTACTGGGTGTCTGTGGCAACGTTTCTGCACAATAGGTGACAGTTTTCCATCAGCCAGCAGTGGTTGGTCTGCCCGAGGCAGTAGGCGGAGCTAACGCAACAGGACTCACTTGTGTGAAGCAGCATCCTGTTTTTTCTAGTCTCTGCTAGCGTTGAGGGTAAACGGTTACTACGACTGGACAAACAAAAGACAAGAGCGATGACTACAGATGATGAAATGCCAACTTATCCAGACTTAACTTGACCTAACTTCGCTTTACTTGCTAACCTACCTTAGTTGATAAAGTGAGTCAGAATCTGTCCCATGATGCTCCTTTCACAGCGGCCAATGCAACTGATGCAAGTTCTCTCTCACACGTGTGTCTGTTTTGAGGTTTGTTGTGGCTTTGCTGAATAACTCTACATGTGCATTAACATTTCAACTGTCTTAGCCTTATAATAAAACAATTATAATTGAAGGGTGCCCCGGCTGCATTAAGAATACTTAATTAAAGGTAAACATGTGTGAGCACTGCTCACCGTCCTCAGTATCCAGCTCAGCCTCTGACACCAGCTCCTCACTGGGCCTCCTCCCCGTGTCCCCGTCCTCCGAGTCCTCCTGAGGAGACAAGCCACAGCGCAAAGGTTCGTCCGGTCTAATCGTGCAGGAGCCGTTTCTCTTTCACAGATCAATCATTTTACAGCATCTCTTTGATTAGATTTATAAATGCACATTCCACGACCCCACGGGGTCGACTCACCTCTCTCTTGCATGAAGGCGGGCAGTAGAAGAAGTAGTGCGGGTTGGAGGGCACAGTTTTGAAATACTGGGACACGATCCCCATGAACTTACCCTGTGGAATAATTAGTATTGAAATCAGCTTCACCCCTTTAGCTTATTAAATGAGGTAGGGCGCAATCACTGACTACAGGTCTGGTTTCAGAACATGGGATGAAGAGCTCAGACGGTACCTGTATGATGCCGTGCAGATCTGGATACACTTCACACTTGGGCTGTGTTTGAAGCAGCAGCAGAGGGAACTCTGGGATCTTGGCCGTCTTGGACTCATCCAAGATCAGTGGAGATGTGGGAGCAGAGGACTTCCCTCTGGACTCAGGTTCACTGGCATCCTCCATGTCAATGCTGTAGCCAAAAGCATTCACATTAAACATGAACAACTGTGTTAGCTCATAGGAAACGCATTATTTTAATGTCACCATTTCAAACAGTTGCCTAAGGAGCCCGAGTGGAAAAACGTGGTTATGAAACAAAGGATGCTTCCATTCTGACTTTATTGGGGGGGGGGGGGGGGGGGGGGG